AAAGGGGGAGAGACGTGAAAAAAAACAGTGCCTCTCACCTGTACCATCCTTGTTTCCGTTCTGATGCGTTCGCAGCTCCTCTGACTTGTAGAAGTCGATGCTGGCATAGGTGTTGAGGTTGGAGCCTACACTGCCCCCCACTCTAGCCCCGGACACCCCCGCCCCAGCCCCCCCAGTGAGCATGGACGAGTAGAGGCGAAGGGGGTTGGCCTGGACAGTTGAAGACCCGTCTAGGGCTGAATGAGGGCTCTCTTTGTTAGCCAAGTCCAAGTCTATGTAGTTGAGGCCCTGCTCCATGGATAAAGCCTGGGCAGAGGGCAGGCCCGGCCCGGGATGGAGGAACTGCAAGGGGAGCTGCTCGGCTGATGCTCCGTTTCCCCACAGCATGCCCTCAAACCCCAGCCTGCGAGCCACAGCCTGGGCGTGCTCCGGGAAGAGGGAGGCGGCCGACGAGGAGTTGGAGGAGGAGGAAGAGGAGGATTGGGGAGGGAGAGAGGGGGAAGCGAGGAAGGTTTCGGAGCAGTGGCGTCTGCGGCCCTGGGCGTCGGCCCGGATCACTTTGGGCCCGGTTTTGGCCAGGGGGAAGTCCAAGCCCAGGGTGAGGACAGGGACTGGGGGCTCGGGCCTGGCTGGGGAGGAGGCTTTGGGGGAGGTGTTATTGGACGTCGAGCTGGCAACGGTGTTGTTGTTCAGGCTGAAGGCCATCTCTGTATAGTCCCCGCAGGAGGTAGGGGACTCTGATTGAGTCACCACCACGGGGGTAGTCTGTCTGTTTATCCTGGATCCCGCTTCAGCCCCCTCGGTTCCCCCTTGCTGCTGAGGGGACACCCTGAGCTCGCCGTGGGCCTTGGGTGCCCGGGCTATGGGAGGGGGCGTAGGAGGGGTGGGGAAGGAAGGGAAGCCCAGCGGTGTCAGGGAGAGGGGCGAGGGGGACGGAGAGGGCCCCAGGTCCATGTTGACATACTCAGAGGCTAATGGAGGGGTGAGGGGCGTCAGGGGGGCCGAGGGACTGCAGGAGAGAGGCAGGAACCCCCCCAGGCAGGACGCGGGCTGGTGTGAGGGGCGCTGGCTGGAACCGCGAGGGAGGGACATCCCATGTCTGAGTCCCCTCCCTCCCCCACATCCTGGCCCTCCTCTGGTGCTTTTGTCCCGCTTGAACTCGATGCTGACGTACTCCCCTGGGCTCTTGGGTTCCGGGGGGAGGGGGTTCTCCCGGACCCTGGGGAGGGTGTTGGCTTTGGACACGTCCACAAACAGGCTGACCGGCCGGGTCCTGGCTCGCCCTTGCTGGCCCTGCTTGGGGGCCGCCTGTCTCTGCTGGAGGAGCCCTATGTCTTTAGAGTGAGCTCCCCCACCTGAAGGGCCTGCTCCCTGGGAAGACCTATCCTCGTTCTCCCCTAGGCTCTCGCTGCTGGCCGAGCTGGAGGAGTATGAGGACGAGGAGAAGGACAGGTGGCGACCTTGGACCGCACCCAAATTTGGGTCCTGACGACCACTCACTGCCCTGCCAACCCCTCTACTACCACCGCTCCCATTGGGCCTCCTGCCTCGGCCGTCCTCAAAGTGTCCACCAGGTGGCGTGTGTTTGTAGGAGCGGGGCAGTGAGTAGTAGGAGTAGACCATCTTGGGGGCCTGCTGAAGGGGATGGTGGTCTGCCTGAGGGAGTTGCTCGGGGGGAGGGGGGCTGCTGTTGGCCGAGCGGGCGTTGATGGGGGACATGTTCATGTAGTCGCTGCCCGCCCGGCTGTCTGCGCTGCTGCTGCCCACCCAGGCCCCGCCTGCCAGGCCACCACGCTGGTCTGGAGAACAGCTGCTGTTGGGTGACATCATCATGTAGCCGTCTCCGGGAGGGGGCCGGATCTGTTGTGGCGGTGATACGCTGTTGTTGGGTGTCATGGCCATGTAGTCGTCCGCTGGCTTGGACTCGTCGGCAACAGAGGTGGAAAGCGAGTTGGTGAGGGAGACAGGGGGTTGGGTCACTCCTCCCGGTAGCATGGACATGTAGCCGTTATCCCGCACTATACCTCCACCTCTACCCAACGCTCCAGCCACGTCCAGGTACCCCCCTCCTCCCACCCCTCCACCGGGGCTTATCTCAGAGTCTCTCCGTGAAGAGGAGGTGGTGAAGGACTCCCTGCTAGTGCTGCGTGACATAATGGCGTAGTCGGCCGCGTCCTCGTCCTGCTCCTCCTCCCCCCTGCGGGGCCGTGGGACCAGGCGCTCCAGGGCCATGGGCGGCAGGGACGCCCGCTTGCTCAGCAGCCGCCTCTCGGCATCACATTCCCGGCTGGAGGAGCGCCGCAGGACCCTCCTGGTCTGGGGCTGGTGGGAAGGGGCTGAGCTGGATGCACCAGCAGGCAGAGAGCCAGATGACGTGGCTCCACTACACTGGCCCATTAGGATGTAGTTAGCAGCCTCGTCATCCAGGGATTGACCATGGCCGCCCAGGCCGCCCGACCCGGCTGACCCTCCAGGCATGTTGGGGGAGGGGGCCAGAAGGGAGTGGGAGGATTGCTCCCCAGGGCTGGAGCCGTACTCGTCCGAGGAGCCATAGTCGCTGGGGGAGCCCGACACGGAAGCATTGTGGGAGGGGACGCGGCTGTATGCACCGCCCCCTGCTCCTCCACCACCTCTTCCGGTCGCACCAACCACTACCCCAAACTCTGAGCCGTGGCCAGAGCTGGAGGAGAGGCTGGGGGCCGGGGAGGGGGCTGGGCTGGAGATGGAGCGCATCAGGCCCAGGGGGTTGTTCTTGGCCAGGGTGGGGGCCGAGCAGGCCGATTTGGACTTGAGGATGGGCGTGGTGGAGTAGGACCCGTTGGTAGTAGGACTGGAACTCTGCCCTACCCCTCCACACACTCCACCCACTCCTTCTTCACCTTTACCCCCGTCACTGGCTGTGCGTGACCTGGGGAAGCTGTGGCGGGGAGTGGGCGATGCGTTGGCACTGTTGCCCCCAGTTCCAGCCCCTCCAGGCGGCTCAGTGCGGGGCCTGCGGGTGAAGCCCACCTGGCTGGGGGGCGGGTTGGGGTGGTGGCGTCGCGAGGGGACGCTGATGGGGTTGGAGGCTGTAGCGCCCCCTCCTGGTCCGGAGTTGGACTGTGACTTGCTGCGCTGGCGGAACTCCTCGCTCAGGGCCTTCATGGCTTCCAGCAGGGTCTCATGCATGTTCTGGGCCACCACAGAGTCATCCACCTGCATGAGACAGAACAGTTATACTCTATGGGTTTACAACCACATGTCGAGTCGGCCACATGTTCTAACCTCTAATCCATAACCTTAACCTTTAACCTAAACTTAACCTAACCCATAACAAATTCCCTACTGTCTCTTTTCCTTTAAGTTTAGCCAACATCAAATGGTCATGCATTAGGATGAATACACAGCTTGCCAATCAAAACACAGTAACCATTCAGAGCTGTAACCCCAGAGACTGGGCCTGTGTTACATCTCATCTCACCTGCATCCAGAACTCCCCGGGGCCCGTGACCGCGGAACGACCAACCTCCACGAAGAAGAAGTTCTCGGAGTGACCGCAGCGCCGCACATTCATCAGTTGCAGGACCACGGCGGCGGCGTCTGAGTTGAGCTTGACGAAGTTGACCGTCTTGTCGGTCAGGCACAGCCGGTAGACGCCCACCAGGTTCTTGGCCTGGCCCAGCCCCTTTGGCCACACCTTGACCTGCCACACCTCCTTGAAGGCGGGGCCTGGGGTGGGTACACCGTAGTCCCCTCCAAGACTGGTGTCGGTAGTAGCCGCCTTACCTGGAGAGGAGGACAGAAGGGAAGGATATGTGTGCATGCCTGTGAGAGAGAGGGGGGGAGAGAGGAGAAGAGACGAGAGAGAGAGAGGAGATGAGAGGAGAAGAGGAGGCGGAGATGAGAGAGAGAAGAGGAGAGAGAGAGAGAGAGAGGCAGGAGAGGGAGGAGAGAGAGGGAGAGAGAGAGAGATGAGAGAGAGAGAGAGGAGAGAGAGAGGAGAGGGAGAGAGAAGAGAGAGGAAGAGAGAGAGAGATAGAGAGGAGAGAGGAGAGAGAGAGAGAGAGAGAGAGAGAGAGAGAGAGGGAAGGAAGGAAGGAAGGAAGGAAGGAAGGAAGGAAGGAAGGAAGGAAGGAAGGAAGGAAGGAAGGAAGGAAGGAAGGAAGGAAGGAAGGAAAAGTGTTTGAGATAGGGAGAAAGAAAGAAATGGATCAAGAAAGAGAGATTGAGAGACAGGTGGGTGGATAGAGGGATGGAATAGAGGGATTAAAACAGGTGGGTGGATAGAGGGATGGAATAGAGGGATTAAAACAGGTGGGTGGATGGAGGGATGGAATAGAGGGATTTTAAAACAGGTGGGTGGATAGAGGGATGGAATAGAGGGATTTAAAACAGGTGGGTGGATAGAGGGATGGAATAGAGGGATTTAAAACAGGTGGGTGGATAGAGGGATGGTGGGTGGATAGAGGGATGGTGGGTGGATAGAGGGATGGAATAGAGGGATTAAAACAGGTGGGTGGATAGAGGGATGGTGGGTGGATAGAGGGATGGTGGGTGGATAGAGGGATGGTGGGTGGATAGAGGGATGGAATAGAGGGATTAAAACAGGTGGGTGGATAGAGGGATGGAATAGAGGGATTAAAACAGGTGGGTGGATAGAGGGATGGTGGGTGGATAGAGGGATGGTGGGTGGATAGAGGGATGGAATAGAGGGATTAAAACAGGTGGGTGGATAGAGGGATGGAATAGAGGGATTAAAACAGGTGGGTGGATAGAGGGATGGAATAGAGGGATTAAAACAGGTGGGTGGATAGAGGGATGGAATAGAGGGATAAAAACAGGTGGGTGGATAGAGGGATGGAATAGAGGGATTAAAACAGGTGGGTGGATAGAGGGATGGAATAGAGGGATTAAAACAGGTGGGTGGATTGAGGGATGGAATAGAGGGATTAAAACAGGTGGGTGGATAGAGGGATGGAATAGAGGGATTAAAACAGGTGGGTGGATAGAGGGATGGAATAGAGGGATTAAAACAGGTGGGTGGATAGAGGGATGGAATAGAGGGATTTAAAACAGGTGGGTGGATTGAGGGATGGAATAGAGGGATTAAAACAGGTGGGTGGATAGAGGGATGGAATAGAGGGATTAAAACAGGTGGGTGGATAGAGGGATGGAATAGAGGGATTAAAACAGGTGGGTGGATTGAGGGATGGAATAGAGGGATTAAAACAGGTGGGTGGATAGAGGGATGGAATAGAGGGATTTAAAACAGGTGGGTGGATAGAGGGATGGAATAGAGGGATTTAAAACAGGTGGGTGGATAGAGGGATGGAATAGAGGGATTAAAACAGGTGAGTGGATAGAGGGATGGAATAGAGGGATTAAAACAGGTGGGTGGATAGAGAGATGGGAAGAAAGAAAGAGAGGTTATTAATGTGGGACCTGTAGGAAGTTCACAAAGGAACAGAGGTAAATCCCTGAGGGTGTAAAGGACCAATATGACCGTCGTGCATCAGTTAGGAGGGAATGTGAGGTGAAAGCACCACTATTTACGTAGCCCACAAGAACAAGCTCGCAAGCTGTGCTGATATCTAGCTTTTTTGCCAATTCTGAACAATCCACTTTTCTCACGAGCATGCAGCGGCTTGCGAGTCCTGCTCTCCCTGCAGTTGCATGTTCCAACTCGGTGGCCACACACACGCACGTACGTACGTATGTAAAATGTAAACTGTTGAGGATTCAGGCACTTCAAAAGGACAATGCCTACGAAAAAACAGGCTAAACTGTCGTGGAATTTGTTTTACTTACTTGCAATGCCTACGGGCGACTTCCTATAGATTAGAGCTGGGTGATATGGACAAAAATCCATATCGTGATAAATTGCCTGAATTGATGCGATAATGATAAATAGAACGATACGTTTATAACATTAATCTGCACCGTTTTTTTCTTATTCTCCTTTAAACTACTACTACTACTAGTTTGATGGTTGTAGCCATCAATTGTCCCATTAACAATCACCCATATTAGCAAACTTATTTCATTTCAAACTTTCTCTAGTATAGGCTACTTATTGTAATGAACGATATCAGCAAAATGCCTCCGATAAGTGATCGGTATGGTCGGTGTTGATAATATACCACTTATCCCACCCATCTCCGTGTCCCTTAGGCCGACTTGTTTCCATACTCTTGGTTGGTGTTCGCAGGTTTGAGACTTTCTGAATACATTAGAACCCCATAGAAGAAGAGTTAATTTACTGTATAAAGTTCTATTACAGTAGACACTCATTTACAGGTCACTCACCGTATTGAGAGAAAAGACCACAGCTTTCTTGAGACTGAGCTCACTTTGTCTAATAGGGAACAATTAAGTCCTCTGTTAATATCAGTGGAAGGTAAGGGGACCAGAACACCTGTTTAATAACTGCTTTCATAGATAAGAATGGGTGTTCAATGAATCCTTCATAAGCAACCGACCAACACTCACATCGAGACTAAGCCTAAATGCTTACATGTTTAAATGAATAGCTCTTACAGGCACTTTCTGTCAACTTCAGCCAAACAAAAGAAAGCCCTTACTTCTCCATAGCCTCCAACATTATCATACTGGAGTGTACATGTGTCATGTTTGTGTGCGTGTGCTCACGCACATACATGAAGTGGTATCAATTAGGTGCAGGGAAACATGTGTTCCTCTGTCTCTACCGTGCCTTCCGTTTAACCCAACAATCACAACCATATGTACAGTACCAGTTTGGACACACCTACTCATTCAAGGGTTTTTCTTTATTTTTACTATTTTCTACATTGTAGAATAATAGTGAAGACATCAAAACTATGAAATAACACATATGGAATCATGTAGTAACCAAAAAAGTGTTAAACAAATTAAAATATATTTTATATTTGAGATTCTTCAAATAGCCACCCTTTGCCTTGATGACAGCTTTGCACACTCTTGGCATTCTCTCAATAACTTTAAGCATCAGTTGTCAGAGCACCTTACCGATCACTGCACCTGTACACAGCCCATCTGAAATTAGCCCACCCAACTACCTCATCCCTATATTGTTATTTAATTTGCTCTTTTGCAGTCCAGTATCTCTATTTGCACATAATCTCTTGCACATCTAGCATTCCAGTGTTAATACTATTGTAATTATTCTGCACTATAGCCTATTTATTGCCCTACCTCCATAACTTGCTACATTTGCACACACTGTATATATATTTTCTGTTGTATCTCTGACTTTATGTTTTTATTACCCCATATGTAACTCTGTGTTGTTTTTGTTGCACTACTTTGCTTTGTCTTGGCCAGGTCGCAGTTGTAAATGAGAACCTGTTCTCAACTGGCTTACCTGGTTAAATAAAGGTGAAAAAAATAAAAAAAAATAAAAAAAATAAATAAAACCAGCTTCACCTGGAATGCTTTTCCAACAGTCTTGAAGGAGTTCCCACATATGCTGAGCACTTTTTGTCTGCTTTTCCTTCACTCTGCCTTCCGACTCATCCCAAACTATCTCAATTGGGTTGAGGTCGGGGGATTGTGGAGGCCAGGTCATCTGATGCAGCACTCCATCACTCTCCCTCTTGGTCAAATAGCCCTTACACAGCCTGGAGGTGTGTTGGGTCATTGTCCTGTAGAAAAACAAATGATAGTCCCACTAAGCCCAAACCAGATGGGATGGCGTATCGCTGCAGAATGCCGTGGTAGCCATGCTGGTTAAGTGTGCCTTGAATTCTAAATAAATCACAGACAGTGTCACCAGCAAAGCACACCCACACCATAACACCTCCTCCTCCATGCTTTACGGTGGGAACTACACATGCAGAGATCATCCGTTCACCCACACCGCGTCTCACAAAGACACAGATGTTGGAACCAAAAATCTCCAATTTGGACTCCAGACCAAAGGACAAATTTCCACCGGTCTGTCCATTGCTCGTGTTTCTTGGCCCAAGCAGGTCTCTTCTTCTTATTGGTGTCCTTTAGTAGTGGTTTCTTTGCAGCAATTCGACCATGAAGGCCTGATTCACACAGTCCCCTCTGAACAGTTGATGTTGAGATGTGTCTGTGACTTGAACTCTGTGAAGCATTTATTTGGGCTGCAATTTCTGAGGCTGGTAACATTAATGAACTTATCCTCTGCAGCAGAGGTAACTCTGGGTCTTCCATTCCTGTGGTGGTCCTCATGAGAACCAGTTTCATCATAGCGCTTGATGGTTTTTGCAACTGCACTTGATGAAACGTTCAAAGTTCTTGAAATGTTCCATATTGACTGACCTTCATGTCTTAAAGTAATGATGGACTGTCGTTTGTCTTTGCTTATTTGAGCTGTTCTTGACACAATATGGACTTGGTCTTTTACCAAATAGAACACAACTGTCACAGTCGTTGAGAGACGGGTCAGACCAAGGTGCAGCGTGGTATGCGTAAATGTTTATTAGAACAAATAAACACTTGACAAAAACAACAAAAGCAACGTAACGTGAAGCTCACTATGGCTACACACAAACAAGCCAAACCAGAGTCAAGATCCCACAACTAAGGTAGGCAACCAGGCTACCTAAGTATGATCCCCAATCAGAGACAACGAGCGACAGCTGCCTCTGATTGGGAATCACACCCGGCCAAACCTAGACATACACATACTAGATCTCCAACATAGAATATAATCACATAGACCTCAAACTGAAACTCAAACCCTGACCCAACCAACAAGAGTTCTCTAGGTCAGGGCGTGACAGTACCCCCCCCAAAGGTGCGGACTCCGGCCGC